AGGAAACACTGCCGTTGCCGATCCCAAGCCCGGATGAGAAAAGTGGAGGGTTGCGTTAGGTAGTCTACAGCCAGCGTAAAACTTGTCGAAAAAATCATGACATGAATCCTTTTGATCATTGTGTAAGTGTTAGGCGTCCCCTGGAAGCGACGCGCTGTATAGCCTGAATACAGTGAAAAGTGTGCAAGGGCCGCTACACCGGCGCCCGGGTGTAGTGTTAAATAAGCAAGGGTTCCCACATTACGGGCGAATGCGGGTAAAGAAGTTAGTCCATAAAACTAATGAAACTAATATTAGGATAGGATCTTGGAATATAGACACTCTCAATGGTAAATTAATGGAATTAGTTGATATTATGATTCATAGGAAAATTAATATCTTATGTATTCAAGAAACTAAGTGGGTGGGAGAAAAGGCTAAGGAGATTGATAATTTAGGTTTTAAACTTTGGTATTCTGGTAAGAGTCGCACTAGAAATGGTGTAGGTGTAATTATAGATAAGAGTTTGAAAGATAATGTTGTAAAAATTAATAGAGTTGGTGATAGAATTATAGCCCTTAAGATTATCATTGATACTAAGATTTTTAATATTATAAGTGTTTATGCTCCTCAAGTAGGTTTAGATTTAGAGTCTAAAGATAAATTTTGGAATGACTTAGAAGACTTAATACAAATGATACCTCTTGAAGAAAGAATTTTTATTGGAGGAGATTTAAATGGACATGTCGGTAGAGTGGTCGAATATTTCAGAAATATTCATGGTGGCTACAGTTTTGGAGTAACTAATGAAGAAAATAGAGTTATTTTAGATTTTGCTTTAGCGTTTGATTTTGTTATTACTAATACTTTATTCAAGAAAAGGGATGAACATCTTATTACTTATAAGAGTGGATCTAATAAAACACAAATTGATTATTTTCTTATGAGAAGAAGAGATCGTCGTGATTGTAATAATTGTAAAGTCATTCCAAGTGAAAATTTAAATGCCCAACATCGTTTATTAGTTTTAGATTTTAAGATTAAGAGTTGTAAAATAAAAAATACTATGACTCATCATTGCAGAATTAGATGGAGAAACTTAAAAGATACAAATAAAATTAATTTTATGAGTAAAATTCAAGATTTAAAAATTTGGGACATTCATGAAGAAACAAATGTGACGTGGGATAAAGTATCAAACGCTATTAAACATGTAGGAAAAGATGTTCTTGGAGAATCAAAGAGAAAAATATTTACAAATAAAAATAGTTGGTGGTGGAATAATAATGTGCAAGAAAAGATAAATATAAGAAGTTATGTTATAAAAATTGATTTAAATGTAAAAGCTTAGGGAACTGGAGAAAATATCAAACGATTCGCAGGGAGTCTAATAGAACAATTTGTGACGCTAAAAATTCTGCTTTTAATGATCTTTATAATAGATTAGATACTAAGGAGGGTGAAAAATATATGTATAAACTA